CAAATTGAATTATTAAAAATTGAACTTGAAAAAGTAATAGAAAAAAAAACAAAAATTTTTTATTTGTTTATCAAATTTTTATTTTAAGTCAACAGAATTACTTGAAAATGAACGAATATTAATGGAAAATGAACGAGTAAATCTCAAATATTTTTTAACAAGAATTTTCATAAAAAAAATATTTCCTTTTAGATCAAACAAAATAATATTCAAGAACAGTTAGAAGCTTCATTAAATGAAAAAACACTTGATTTTGAAGAAATGAAACGTCGTTTAGTGAAAGCTATTCGGTACAAACCATTTTATTTATTATCATTTTATAAATCATGTTTGTTTATTTTTATTTAGTGAAAAAGCAGATTTATTTAATTCATTACATTCATATGAAATGAAACTTGAAGAAGAACAATCAAGAAAATGGGTACCAGATGAAGATGTTCTTAATTGTACGAAATGTAATACAGTATTTGGATGGACTGTGAGAAAAGTATGTTATTTTTCATGTGTTTTATTTCATTGAAAAAAATCTATTTTTCAATAGCATCATTGTCGACGTTGTCAAAAAATATTTTGTCATAATTGTTCAAATAATTGGATACAAGGTTCAAAAATAAAGTTAGTTTATAATTAATTACGATTGATTAAAAGTTCTGATAACATTCAATAAAAAAAAACATAAAAATAGAGAGATATTTTTCATGTTATTTTATTAAATATTCAAAATAGTTATCATAATTATTTATACAAAGTTCCATCTTTTCTAACAATTTGTCAAACGTTTTTCTTAAACTCTTCTTCTGAAGTATTTTTAACGATCTTGAAAACCATACGAACCAATGATTTTTCATTTGTTTGATCAATTAAATCTCGTTTGATATCATCATTTAGCCAAATATCACATGGTGCAAGGTTCTCATGAAAACGGTCGATGCGACATTATATTGATACCTTCTTGTGTTAAATAACTGATAACATCTGGATGAGTATGAGGTCAAGGATTGTCATGAAGTAATTTTATATCAATGTTATCAGAACTTTTGGTCAGATCTAAATAATTTTCCACAAAGACAAATATTTTCTTCTATTTCAGTTCTCCACAGTATCGTATATGTGATTATTGTAATGAAAAATTATTAAAAGAATCTCTTACGCCTAATGATATAATAAATATTGATATAATAAATAATCGTGAAACAAAAGATGATATCGATCTTCAATTTGAAGTACGAGCAGAACGTTTACCATCAACAACAGATATCCAGCCAACATCTTAGAAATTGCTAAAATCAAGTTATATTTTTCTTTTCTGTCTTGTTTTTTTGAAATTTATTTCTTTTAATTGCAATATTAAATTGAGCATTTCTTTTTTTTTATTTGTATATCTTTACTTTTTATAATTTATATTTAATCGATATAAGAATATATATTAATGAAAAAAAAA